TTTTTTTTTTTTTTTTTTTTTTGCTAGATAAAGTAGTCTCTTCTTATCTACTTAAGCAACATTTGAAAACATAGTGTTCTTCTCTGCGGACTGAAAATATCATCTGGAGTTTTATTTGCATTATCAGTTTATTTAGCACATTCTTTCTCCTTAGCAACCACACTACTCCCAGGCCTTGCCCTTTTAATTAGTAACCTGTCACTGTATTTCAGTGCTTCTGTCAAGGCACACCAACTGACCCAGGAAGAATCAAAACATATCCAGTTGACATGGAAGAAAACATTTGGTAAGTTTCTCATAGCATTGGGCTGGCTAGAGAAACCATTCCTTGGGAACCAAAAGTGAAACCTAACTTAGTTAATGTGGAAAACCTAAGGGTCAGCTTGTTCAAGGAGGTGAAGTTGGCAAGGGAAGTGGGTGGCAAGGCAAAGCTATGGAACCCAAAGTGGGCCACTTGTTTTAAACTAACTCTTTTTTGCTTTTAAGTGTTAGTGCCCCATACCTGCCACTAACAGATGAAGGTTTTTTGTTTTTTTTTAAAGATTTATTTATTTATGCATACAGAACTGGGGTACAGGCCAGAGGTGCTGGGGTGGTGAGAGGACTCATCAGAGACAGAGTGGGGAGCAGAACAGGCAGAACGACAAAGTACACTGCTGAGGGGAGCAGCAGGCAAGACAGGAGAGGTCTGCTGCATCATGTGGATCACCTCTGGGTCTGGGGATCTAACTCATATTGAAGCTGCTATGGCTAGCTTGCAGTGCTGCATCCTAACCCATTGGGCCCCAGATGTAGAATTTTTGTATAGATTCACTCTTGTACGATCATATAATGACCAACTTGTAACATATGCCCAGTATAGTTCCATGCTGTATGGGTACAGTAATGAGCTGCCTTAATGATGCTCAATATTGGCAGAGGAGGAAAAAAAATAACATACTGATAAATGTAATGCAGGTTTGATAAATGCCAGTAAGTAGAATAATGCAGGATTTAGACATAATCCACAGCTAATGAAGTATGTATGACATGTGTGAGCTCGGGTTTCCACTGGCTAACTTAGTTAGATTCATCAAAGAAGCCTATTTGGAAAAGATGACATTTGAATAGACAAACCTGATTAAAATAAGAGGGTGAGATGTGAGCAATCCTAATCTAAAATGAAACTACATATCACCATTATTATGAACAGACAAATCAATTTGGTCATAATGCACAGCTCTTAAGTTCTTTGTAGGTGATGATAGTTACTGAAATATTGAGATAAATGAACTACTTCCCTAAAACTGTTCCCATCTATTAAATTGGGTCATGCACACAGAAATTTATTAAACACTTTTTTATTAACAGGTCAAATAGTTCCAGTCTGTCCTTACACAGGTGGACCGTTTGAGGTAGAAGCATCAACACCCCAGATGCAGGATTCCACTACATCACCTCTCAGAAAAAAGAACCAGAGTGCCTCTATCAGTGTATGGACACCAGACTGCATAGAGCCACGTGTCAGAGCCTGCCCTCAGAGCAGTGATGGTTAATTTCATGTGTCAACTTGATTTGACGGCAGTACCCAGATGCTTGGTCAAGCACCAGTCTAGATGTCACTGTGAAGGGATTTTTTTCAGAAATGACTAACACTTAAATTACAGACTGAGCAAAACAGATTACTCTCCATAACACGGGTGGGCCTCTTCAATCATTTGAAGGCCTT